AGTTTTACAGTCACGGTGTTGGTGTGTCTCAATGAAGGGAAAATAAAATGCCATTCTGAATGCAGGACACAAATACAAGTAAGTTAGACAGAGTCAAGAATTAGTAGGCCAACGATTTTCTGGATGACAGATGGATAGGATAGTCAGAAAATACGTTAAAATGTTGACAGTAAAAAGCAACCCCAGATTAGTTACAGAAAAAAAAAACCCACAACCAAAAAAGGCACCAATTTTGCTTTTGTGGGCTACACAATAGAACATACATGTTAACACAACTTAAAGAATGTTTAACTCACTTACCCAGAATAAACATTTGCTTTCTAATCCTTTTAAATGCACACAAGTGGATTTAATAGACAGTAAGCTACTTTTGTATCGAATGCTTTCTTAATATTTTAAACAAATGTCATTAAAATGCAAAGTTACCTGTTACATTCAATTTGAAGAGAATTGATGACCCAGCCATCAACGGGGAAATTCGCAGGACAGTCTCATAACTAAGAAAAATTCATATTTTTTCTTTCAGAAATTTCAAGAGCCCCCTTTTAAGTATACAAAGACATGAATATTCTAAAATGCGCACTATTTTATAAATGATGAGGATAACGAGCTTTGGGGATATTACCTTTAATATTTAGATTTCACTTGCAAAGCTTCCTGAGCCCCACTAATAAACTGTAATGGGTCAGAGACATCTTTCCTTCAGGTGAAAAGCAGAGGTGACTCCTCATTACCTGCTGTCAGTAAATGTGTCTCCCTCGGGCCTTCAGAAATGCTCTTTTGGCGCAGACCGCTTATTGCTTAGAGTCTCTTCCGCCAGAGTGTTCCAGCTTGCTGATTCTTGGGGACTGAGCAACGAAGCTCTGCTCGCGCCCCTGAGCTGAGGAGCTGGAGCCTTTTAAGGTAAGTAAAGCCCTTTTGCAGCCACAGAATCTTTCCTGATTTATTCTCTTGTGGAAGTCTTCCCTATGAGATCTCCTTAGAATCAACACAAGACTAACCCAAGGCAGTGGACTGAAGATTGGGGACATTTTTTTTTTCTCTTTCTGGAGTTTATACACGTTTAAAGTGGCACTTAGGACAAAACCAAAATTAGCAAGTGAAATAATTTTATCATAGAAAACAATCGCCATGCCAACAGCTACCTTCCGGCCTCCTATGAGGATTAAAGAAGCTCAGCATTGTGAAAATGATTGGACCCTGAGAGCAGGGACCTGTCACTCCACAAGGGCAGAAATAGCCACTGCTTTTTCAATGGCTGTGCCAATCACCTAGAACAGAGCCAGATACGTGATGGACCCCACGCTTTGCTGAATGGATGAGTTATATGGTGTAATTAATAGTATATAACCAAAATAACAAAGTGAAAATACAAACAGTGAAACAGATCATCGATTTTAGACGGGGTGATCTATATAAAGCAACTGTGGTCATTTCTGACCAGTTAGTAGTTCATTGAGAGTAGTCAACAAATTAAGGTCGACAAAAATAAGTGTAGTCAACGTGTTAAAATTATTTAAATCGCATTTTATGATTCTTTTCCCAAGTCAATATATAAAAAGGCTCAGAACTTATGCTGAAGGGTTTCAGATGGGAGTTGATGGTAACATGCTTGTCTACCATGCGTAAGGCCCCAATTCAGTCTCCACCACTGACCAAAACCACAACAAACTGATACCTCACTGGTTATTTCCCAAAGAGAGTTATTGTTATCTTTGGGGGAGGGGGGAACAGCTCTTCTAAGAACCCTACAGAATGTCAGTCACAGGCTGCCGATGTTCCTGGGTACAGCATTTGCTTGCACAGCATGTATGAGACCCTGAGATCAGCCCCCAGTTGTGGGAGTGACATCGGCCACACCCCCTCACCTGATCCCCAGATGATCCTTAAAGCCACTGTCACTTAACAGCTTCACAAGTGCTAGATGAAGGAGTTCCTGCCTTTACTAAGACAGGGCAGCACCATTTAAAACGACGGCAGTGTTCAGAAAACTGCATTTTCTCCTAAATTCTACACATAAATGAGTGTAGATCCAGTTTGAAGCAGCATATTTTTGGTCATGGATTTACAACGGGTTTTCCCTCCCTCTCTTTAGATACTTTTCTAGATTGAAAATGTGGATGCTTCCTTCCCAAAAATGCATTTTGAAACCAAGGATTGCTTGTTCATATTAAAATTAACCTAGGGGGAAAAATGGACTCCTCGATGAGGATTGAAGTAATCATTTAGTAAAACGTAAACTATAGTAGAATATTTCAAATTATGCTCTCTTAATTACTTTTTTTTTAAAAAAAACTCACCCTTTTTTTTGCATTTGGACACTTGAGTAAGTATACCAAAATGAGTATGCTCTTGTAAAATAAATAATGTTGGAAACCCCTTCTCCATTAATCACAGTATTTGGAGTGAAATGGGTATGTGTACAAAATTATTTTGTGGGTTACTGAGGTACCCATGCTAATTTGCACTTAGCTTAACCACTGAGGAGTCAACAAAGGGTTCAGCTACGTGATTCTGCATGCCTGAAACTCAATCACCAGCCATCTCAGAATTCTTTAAAAATAACTTCCGTGAACACAGTTCTAAACCTGCCAATCACCAAATCGTCTTGAAAAAAAAAAGTTACTTGTGTGACATTATTTACTTATTTGTGGACAGGTGAACCTCTCTTTCACATTTCTAAACTGTAATATTTCAAAAAGAGCTGCGTTCACGTCTCCTCGGCACACAGACGTTTCCAAGGCTCACAGACCCTGCCTTAAGTTGAGCTTGCTCCTCTCCCAGGCTGCAAACGGCTTTCCCAGCACTTAGGTTCTACACTCTGTGGACGAGACCGGTGTTAATAATTTCATTTGTTCCGTTCTGTTAGTAGCCATTTCAAGTGAAAGGCCAGGACAGGTTCTAAACACGCTAAATTCTATAAAGCCATTAGCAATAAATTTGATCTGGCAGTTTGCTGGGACAATGGAAACTGTTGAAAGGCGTGTTAGTCACTCCGGATGAGCCCACCGGAATTAAAAGAATGAGTTAAGATCTTCTAAGGATGTAGTAAATAATAATAATAATAATCCAGTTGGATCGCAGTTTCCCAGTCGCTTGGAGACTTTGTTAAGGTCTGGCTTCAGCTGTATGTACCTTGTATTTAACTCAGCTGCCGGCAGCCTTCCATCCAATCCCACTAGTTAGGTTTTATTCGGTAAAAATAAAAATAAATACATACTTATATGTAATTAATATAAATAAAATATATTCAAATATAAATATTATCAATAAGCTCAAAGTGCCCTTCTTTCAGTAAATTCCTGTTTATGGGTGAACTTCCTACTTGAATTGCCAGTCAACAGTTTATCAGCTAGCTCAGAACGATGCACGCCTCGGTCGGCATTGATCTTTCTACCTCAAGAGATCCAAACTGTGAACGGGAACAGAAGTCCAAAGTTTGTGCAACTCTTTTCAAGCCATCGACCCCCAGCAAGGCAGCGGCAAGATTTCCTGTCCCCAAGCCCCGCTGCACCACACAGTTCAGCCAACAACTTTCCGGAGATGCAGTCCTGACCTTGGGGACCGGAGCCAGGCAGCTAGAAATGCCAAACCCGGAGTATCCCCGCTGAGATCAAACTGCCCTGGTAGCCCAGCCACCTGTTGAAGGAAGGAGGCTTGGAATGACAGGGCTGAATGGGGTGGAGAGGAAAGATACCAGAACTGGTGTGCCCTTCCTAACTCCACAAGTGGCATCCGTACCCCCAGCTCAGCTCGCTGTAGCGGGCCACCCGGGTAGCATTCATCCGGAGCTGGGTGAGACTCACTAACCAAGATGGGGCTTTTGGCTCAGGGTCCAGCGGCAGGGCTCACCTGGGGCTGAGGTTCCCATAGAGCTGAGGCTCCCCTGGAACCAAGGCTTCCCCTTCCCCGGGCTAACGTTCTTTTGGGCTGAGGCTCCCCTAGACTGAAGTTCCCTCTGGGCTGAGGCTCCCCTGGGTCGAGGCTTCCCTGGGCTGAAATTTCCCTGGGCTCAGGCTCCTCTGGATTGAGGCTCCTGTGGGTCAAGACTCCCCTGGGCTGAGGTCCCCCTGGATCTAGGCTCGCCTAGGTCGAGGTTCCCTTGGGACCAAGGCTCCCCAGGGCTAATGCTCTCCTGTACTGAGGCTCGCACCCCTGGGTCGAGGCTCTGCAGAGCTGAGGTTCCCCTGGACTGAGGCTCTCCTAGGCTCTGCCTTGACCAAAGCTCACCTGGGGTTGAGGGTTGGAAGGCACTGTCTCGGTCCCCTGAAACCCGGCCAGGCATCTGGAAGGCCCAGCGCGCACCACCGTAGGGCCCGGCTGGGCACAGCTTGAGCGGCACTGGGCTGGCAGGCAGCGGTCGCAACTGCGGACACTCGGGACCCGGCGCGGGGCGCGGGGGCGGGGGTGCGTGCGTGGGCCCGGCCCCTGCGCGCAGCAAGTTCTCAATCAGGAAACTCTTGCCCAGGCTGCCGAAGCCCGGCGCTGGGAGGCCGAGGAGTGCCGAGGACGCCACCACATCCCAGTAGGCTCCGGCCTGGGCAGCCACGGCGCTGGGCAGCATGGTGCGCGCCCGCTGCCCGGGAGCCGCGGGGAGCGAGTGCGCGGGGACGGGGACTGGGAAGGGATCGGGAAGGCGAGGTGCGTCCCTGGCCCTTGGTGGCGCCTCTGGCAGAGTCCGGGAGCAGTCTGCAGATCAGGACAGGGTTTTCACACCACCACGGAAGGTGTGTCCGGCCCATCCATTCATGTCATCCTGCCCACAAAGTGACAGATGCGGCCAACAATGGGGGCAATGAGAGTCCGGGCTCCAGCGAGGGGAGGGGACTCTGGCTGAGGAGGTGGGCGTGGAGGGGACGGGAAAGGGGCGCTGCCACTCTGCCTGCCAAGCCTTGACCCTGGTGCTGGAGCCCTGGGCTCTCTGGTATTGATTATCATGAACTTCTAGGGGGCACGAAATGTGATCGCTGAAGCGCGGTTGTCATCAGGGAGAGTGGAAAATGTTGACATTTGGGTGTCTCTGTTATAAGGAGAAAGGAGATAGTTTTTCCTGGATATTTTTGCAAAATTCGTTTCCAATGATTTCATGTCAGGCTCTCTTTTTTAGTAAGATACGTTTTAAGGATTCTGGAGAGAGGTGACTACACCTTCAGTCTAGAAGAGATGATGTAATCAGTTTTGATTTAAAGCAGAGCCTGGGGCTGAAGAGATGGTTTTCAATGCTGGCTGCTCCAACAGAGGCCCCGAGTTCAGTTCTCAGCGTCCCATGTAACTCCAGCTCCAGGGGACTGGATGCTCTCTCAGGGCCTCCACCGGCCCCCTACACACAAGGGCACATACCCACAAAAGGACAGCTAACTAAAAACAAAATTTTTTTTAAAGATCTTCTTATTCTGTATCCATTGCCAGTGGGATACTTTTCTAAAGAGAGAGAGAGACAAAAGTACTTCATTATTTAGAATTACACTGGTTTTGTTTTTTGTTTTGGTTTTTTGGGTTTTTTTGTTTTGTTTTGTTTTGTTTTTGTTTTTTTGTTTTGTTTTGTTTTGTTTTTGCCTGAAAACTTAAGTATTTTTAGTCAACTGTTTGTGGAGACTGGACCAGATGGAGTGTGTGTGTGTGTGTGTGTGAGAGAGAGAGAGGGGGGGGGCTTTTAACTACAAGACTTCAAAAGCCTCTGACTTTGGAAACTGTCAATGGAGTGTTAAAACTGTGACTCCAATTAACACTTACTCTCTTTCCCTAATTTAGATGTATTTATTTAGGATAAGACTTTATTAGAGTTTCTGCAGAGTTTGCACTCACATGTCTGGTTTTATTTCTTGCCCTAAAAATAATTTGGGCTTGGTTTCAATTTACTTAAAAGCCCGCCTTGAGTTGCCAGGTTAGGAAGCTAATTTTCCTTTTAAGATTTCATGTCTTGGGAGCTGTCAAGATGGTCTGATGGGTAAAGGCACTTGCCATCAAAAATGATGACCAAAGTTTGATCTCCGGAATCCACACGGTGGGAGAGAACTGACTTCCAAACGTTGTCCTCTGAGTTCCACACAACTGTCATGGAATACACACACACACACACACACACACACACACACACACACACACACACACATCACAAGCACTCGTTTCTTGCTGTTGTTTCATCTTTTGGTGAGTTGGTTACTTTATGCTTTACTGACACCAAATATGAACAATATTTTCTAAAAATCCCTCCTCAAAGATCCCCCTCAAAAGCCAAATTCATAAAGCTGTCATTGCTTTCTAATATAGTAGACAGTTTTATCACAGTAGTAATGTGAGCAAAATTATGTGCAAGGCTGAGGTAGATCACCAGTATACATTCACTTATTGATTTTAGTTAACAGGCCTTCACTGAACATTTAATATGTTTTGAGCATGGCAGTGGTCCTAGGAATATGTAGAAAAGATCTAGTCCTCACCCCATAGGAACTCTCAGCAAAGCAATGTACCAGGAAGGACTTCACGCCTGAGGGAATATGAGAGCTAGAACCTTCTGGAAGTCTTCCCAGAACTGAGTCTCCAAGGACGACAGTAAGTAGTATTTGAAAGGGAACATATGGAGTTGTGACTGTTGAGATGAGGGGTGGAGCAGAAACTAGATGGCCACGGTCGTCCCTTCACGGTATCTTCCATCTCCTGTTGGTATTTGCAGGCAAGCTTGGTAGCCAATACTTTACCCATGTTAGCTCATTTATATCTTCACACTACCATGGGGTTGGCGCTGCTGTTTATCCCAGTGTTGCTGATGTAGCACAGAGACATAATTATCCCGGGGCTAAGCTAAATCCCAAGTGACATTCCACAGCTTCACTCTTAACCATTGAGTCGGATCACCTCCCTCTTCAGGAACCTAGGCACCATGCTGAGTCATCACCTGACCATTTCTTTGTGCACGTGAGGATGAGAAGCAGGCCTTCCTTTTCCTTTCGTGGATAATAACAAGGAAGATCTGAGTCCAGACTGACTGTTGCATCAGCCAACTTACCACTGTTGGAGAAATCTAGATACAAAATGACAGGGAATGTCATAAAACGAGTGACGAGAACAAAGAAATAGAAGAGACCAATGGTGCAAACGTTCAGTCTATGACCGGATGATGACAGAGCTCTGACACAGAGCCGGTTGCCCACTCCCCAAAGGACATTTGGTAGTTTCTGGAGATTTGGGGGACTGCCAGAACACGTGACAGAACTGTCTACTGGCATAAAGAGGTGAGGGATTCTGCTAAGCATCCTACAATGTCCAACCTAACTCCCACAGCAAAGAGTCGTCTGCTCTGATACCCGCCAGTGCCACAGCCAAGAAAGCCTGATTATGGAGGACGAAGAGATCGACAAGGTTGCTTCTGCTTCTTGTGTTTGAGGGTTCAGAAACAACTCTCTTTGGAGCACGGGGACTTGTAGGATGGGGATCGGGCTTTAGATGGGGGAGGTGATCAAAAGTGTGGAGAGAGTGCTCTGGTGTTTGTGAGGACTTCTGGGGTGAATACAGGGTGAAAAGAGAAATGTATACAGAGAAAATACAGGGGAATGCCAACATTTAAAGAGAGAGAAAACCAAACAGCAGCTATGAGCAAGCCTGAAAAGCAGCAAGGACTTAAAGATAGTAATTGCTACAGAAGAAACAATGGGGCCATGAGAACTCTGTCTTTTGTTTTGTTTTGTTTTTCGAGACAGGGTTTCTCTGTGTGTAGCTTTGCACCTGTCCTGGAACTCACTCTGTAGCCCAGGCTGGCCTCGAACTCACAGAGATCCGCCTGCCTCTGCCTCCCAAGTGCTGGGATTAAAGGTGTGTGCCACCACCGCCCAGCTAGAACTCTGTCTTTATGAATATGTGAGTACTTATTATGGGAAGACTGGAGGCTTCACGTTCTCTCTCTATATCCCTTACCCTCTCGTTGCCTTTCTGCCTACATAGCCTCCAGCACTCTGAGAACTGTGTCTTTTCTTTATAAATTTCCCAGTGTGTTGTGCTGTTGTAAATGGACTAAGATAGAAATGAAGAGACAATGGTGTCACTGAAGATGTTTCAACAAAGAAGGATGGGAGGCCTTGGCAAAGAAGGACTGTATGCTTAGTACTTTCCTTTATCAAAAACACAGTCAGAAAACAATGTGTCTATCTCTCTTGCAGGCTGGGTCATGGATGATGAAATCCAGGTGGAAGTGATTCATTTTCCTGCCCTCTTTTCCTTGTCTAACAACCCACAAGCTCTTTACTCACTTTCGGATGTAGAGGTCCAGCTGAGGACCATGAGTCCCTAGGGAATGGTGATGCCAAAGGTGGAGTTAGCCTGAGACCCTCCATGTCCACCGAAGACCAATGAACAACTGTACCTGTGGGTCAGGACCATTGTGAAGAATGACTGATTGAGTACCACTGTCAAGACTTAGTGATCACTTTCCTAAGTGTATCTTTGACTACTTTAATCCATACCCCAACTCTACAAATGCCCCTCAGACCACGAGGAGAAGCTTAATCCTTAGAGACTTAAGCAAGAACTTTTTTCAAGAGGAAGAAAGCATTTTGTTGAGGGTTAACAGAAGGGAGGAAAGTACAAGGGAAGAGGAAACAGGAGGAAAGCTAAAGGGACTATGGGATTAACTTCTTCCGGGGAGAACCACCAAAAGACCAAAAACATGCTTCCATCCAAGCACAGCTGGGTAAACTGATGAGTTTGCGTAGGTTTACTTTCAGGGGCACAGGTTAAGAGCTACTTATAGAAGCATGGGCTGTTGAAGACAAATCTGTTTTCTTGCCAACAACTGCTAACTACGTGTGTATTCTCAGGAAGAGTGGGGCTTCATGCTACTTGTGAGGCCCTCGGTAGGACCACCTCATGAGCCCTGCATGTCTTGCTTTGTGAGTCTGTGGGCCATGTGTCCCCTCCATGAGGGGATGGGAGAAGGTTCAGTCTTGTGAGGCCCTTGTGTGTGTGATCACAGCTGCTGATCTCAGGATGGCAGTGGCCACGCAGGAACCCAACACAGTGATCTACCACTTATAGAGTAGAAAGAAGAGATATGTGTCTATGATTGGGGAAAAAGAGGTCATTCTGAAGTGAACTGAAGTAGAGCAGAGATGGAGTTTGATGGAGCAAAGCTCTTGTCCTCAAAGGCTGAGAGAGAGCAGTATCCACGGTTCAGGTGGGACAATTTAAATTGGGGGAGAAGAAATCATATTGTACTCACTTGAGAGAAAATGGGGAAGCGTAGATGGATTCCGGGATGTTTGCTTGTGGCCTGTGTCTACTATCTCCTTGGCAAAGGAGCTGTGGAGAGGACAGAGCATGTGCTAAGAGCTGTGCGTGAAAACCACCTGTTCCTGGTACTCCCTCTGTGTAGTGGGTCTGTTTCCTTTACAGTCCAAACTAATGGGGCTTCCTTTTCCTCTCCACCAGACACTCTCCTCGGTTCTGTTTCTGGGCCAGTCACAGTATCTGTTTTCCTCACCAGATGAGAAGCGACTCTTGAAAAAGCAGTCGAGAGCATCTCCTTCCTCTCTTAAGTTTCTGTGCTTTCTTGAGAAGAAACCTGGTAGAAGAGAGAAAAGTTGGATCATCTCAAGATCCCAACCGATGACAGTCGCACAAGTGAGCACAGCCCAGATCCAGCAAAAGATCTAGCCCATGGACCCAAACTCATGCAAAACAGCAAATGATTACGATTTTAAGCCAGTAAGTCGGGGGTGGGCTGTTATTCAAATTGTACTGAACACTTGGGATAGTGGTTTTGCCTTCCTTGGGATCAGGATCAGTTTCTTATTGGTAACGATGTATTTATCCCTCACTCACAGAGCTGCTGCATGGTGTTCTGCTTTAAAACATCTTCACGATGATGCCACTATTGGTGGAATCGAATTACAGTCATGATTAGCATGAAGTTCAAAATGAGGTTATTTGTTGAGAAGAGGAGCAAGAGGGTGGAGTCAGTGTAAGTGAGGAGGAGAGGAGGGAGAAGCCTGGCTAAGGCTTGAGAACATGAGTTTGTAGGAGGTTTTTCAACGAGCCATTATAGTCTTATCTTCCTCACAAGTTGAAGACTTGTGAAGGTAGTGATAAACTACCCATGGTGAGTTCTTCTAGTAAGTTATGTTTTCAAAGGGACCTAAATAACACAAGGTGTCACTGAAGATAAGGATCTTACAGTGTAGACTGGGGAGGGGAATAGGAAAGGTGGAATACATCCTGGGGAGGCAGGGACCAGTGATCTCAATGGGACACAGGCTTTGTGTATCAGGAACACCACCATAAAAATGATTATTAAATAAATGGTTATGATCACCAAGAGCTAAGATTATCAAAACCTGTGGCTAGGAATTCATTAGCCCAACCAAGGTGAAGGAACCTGCTAATGTTGTTTGGCCACAGAGACACATTATCCTACTGTCTTTTAAATGTTTGTGGGGGTTTTTTAAAACATTTTTTTAGATTTATTTATTTATTATGTATACAGCATATATGACTGCAGGCCAGAAGAGGGTACCAGATCTCATTACAGATGGTTGTGAGCCACCATGTGGTTGCTGGGAATTGAACTCAGGACCTCTGGAAGAGCAGTCAGTGCTCTTAACCTCTAAGCCATCTCTCCAGCCCAATGTTTGTGGTTTTATCCATAGATTTGCACTGTCCCTAACCGTAGTCAGAGAAGCTTTGTATTTCTGGGCAGAGGTTAATGCAGAGACATGTAACTGTTCTAAATGCTGATACTAAGCAACTGTGAATGCTTCACTATCAATGGAACATCTGTACCGATACTCTCCACCCCTACCCCAAGGCTCAGAGAACATTATGGAAGAGGTAGTATAAAGAACATAAGAGTTGTGGGCTGGAGAGATGGCTCAGAGATTAACAGCACTGGCTGCTCTTCCAGAGGTCCTGAGTTCAATTCTCAGCACCCACATGGTGACTCACAACCATCTGTAATCAGATCTGGTGCCCTCTTCTGGCCTGCAGTCATACACGCAGGCAGAACACTATGCATAATAAATATATAAATCTTAAAAAAAAAAAAAAAAAAAGAACATAAGAGTTAATGGGTGGGCAGAAGAGCTATAAAAAGGAACTTACAGCTACTGTGGTTCTGTGCACAAGATCAAACCAGTTAAAGGTTCCAGCAGGGAATCGAAAGGTGTTCCCAAATCCCGGTCCTTAGTTGAAGAGCTATATGCAGGTGATGGTTACTGTGGAAAAGAATCTCTTTTCTTTAAGGAGTGGCAATAGCAGACTGCCAATGTCCCACTGAGTAACCCCACAGCCATGGGCAAATGCGCAGCACTGTTGAGACTCATTGGGTTATTTTTTAAAAGAAGTTTTGAAGCTAAAAGGAGATATATTAAGAAAAGGAGGCATATATAATTAAGATGCATTGTACACATCTACGAAATCTTCAAAGAATAATTGTTTTTTGAAGAACTAAGATTCCAAAGACAAAGCAGTTTGAATTAATGAGACTGTCCAGCGTATAGTCAAGGGAGTAAGTGACAGCTAAGGTTTCCGGAAGTGAGTGACATCGGGGGTCAAGGCATTAGATGAAATATCCCTGTAGAAACTGAGTCACCAGGGATGCCCAGCCAGCTTTCTTACATGTGGTAGGAAAAGCGGGGTCCATGACAGCTCTAAAGCTTCGATCTCAAAAGACTGTTGGCAAGTTAATTTTCTCCATTTGCAGTTCAAATGATGTTGGCAAAAGCTTTGATGACATGTCTGCACTGGGACCTAGAGAGGCAGGCTGTGATGACTAGATATAAATTATTATTGAGAAAAACCACAGTGTCCCAAGATATGATGGTGTTTATTTCCCAACAATGAAATAGAGGTTGGTACATTAAAACAAACAGCAACTGTGTGCACCGTGCACCACAAACGCAAGACTATAATGTCATCTCTACATGATAGCTGTAGTTCAAAACCTCAGCTGTGGCTTCAGGACCCACCCCATAACACATAGAGACACATGCTCAGAAATGTCTGGGTCCACTTCTGTGACACAGTGAGCTTGGAAGACCCAGTCACATAAGACAAAAGAAGACCAGTCTAGGAGCACATCAAAATGGCACAGGGACCAAACCAAAGGATCTCCTACTAGAAGGATCGAATGACTTCTGTGTTAAAACAAATATTGACTACAGTGATCTGAAGCACACCAAAAGTTAAAAAAAAAAAAACTGTGAGTTTGTAATATTTAATAATAATAATAATGAACAATAACAATATTAAAACTTACCACTTCCTTTGCATTGTTGAGTGCTAAGGTACTAATTCAGTAGCACACACACTAGAACATTATTCTGTACCTTAGCATAATCAAGTAATTGATAATGGGCAACTACTCCTCCACAGAAGAGCCTTTGTATAAGATAACAATACAAAAGTAATGACAGAATTAGAGTCTCATCATTACAAAAAAGAAGGATGAATCAGGCATGTGATGACACTTGATATATGAGTCAACTTTATCTTATAAGACAATGCTAACTTATATGTTTCCTGACAAAGGCCCAGTAACTGGCCCTTCTGTCTACAGGCCCTTCCATTCTAACTTTAAACCCAGTTGTGTGACTTATTTTGGCCAAGGAAATAGTAAGCTTGAACTTGAGAAAGCATTAGAAAGTTTCTTCTCCCATCCTTGAACCTAAACATGGGGTGGCACTTCAATACAGACGTTACATGTACATGGTACAGAACTGATCCAGCTGAGATCATCCTAAACCAGTCAGATCCCAGTCTCTCATGTAGTCTTGAGGAGAAATTTAAATACTATTTAGATCTGACCAAACCTCTTCAAGTAATGTATAGAACAGAAAGGCATATTCATTCCTTGGGGAGACAGTCTCCAGAGGCTACAATGCAGAACCTTCTGGGTAACAAATAGCCAATTTCTTGATAAATGCTGAGAAAAAAAAAGAGAGACTTGTTATAGATTAAAGAGAGATCTGGGATCTTTGATAATGTGAAACAGGTAGGCTTAGATCCTCACTGGAACAAATTAATGTTTAAAAAGACAATTGAGGACACTTGAGCCTTGATTAAATATTTGATGCTATTAAAAACTTACTGTTTGGTTTCAGATGTAGTAATGTATTATTTTTAAGAGTCTGTGGCAAATGAAGGTGTGTGTGCGTGAGTGTGTGTGTAGCCAAGACAATTATGTTCCAAACTAATCTACATGGCTAGAGAAGTGATCAATGAAACAGGAAATTCTATGAGTGTTGAAGTGAGACAGTGCTATCGATCCATTCAACTATTTTCTATATTTTTAAATTTTACACTATAAAAATAAAAAAAGATCCCAGCACTCAGGAGGCAGAGGCAGGCAGATCTCTGTGAGTTTGAGGCCAGCCTGGACTACCAAGTGAATCCCAGGAAAGGCGCAAAGCTACACAGAGAAACCCTGTCTCGAAAAAACCAAAAAATAAATAAATAAATAAAATAAAAATAAAAATAAAAAAGGACTTTTTCAGCTACCAATTATTTTCCCCAAGTAGGTACAGCTAACAGTTTCCTGTACGTATTCCCAGATTTCCTTAATCACACATGATGGCAAATCCCATATAAAGAAATATGCAATGGTGTATAAGACAAGGTTAAATTAAATAAAGTAAATCCCACAGATATTTGTTTGCCTATGAGCAAACACTCTAATATTACATAAATAAATGTATAATTAACTAGAAGGGACATTTGGTACCTACAATCTAGCCTGTCAAATTTCACATTTCACTAAGATTAAAAGCACACACAAATATTTTTGCATTAGTAAAAATTGTCTACAAAAATGCATACCCTTTCATGAATAAAATAAAATGTATTTTAGAGTCATGGATAGACAGGCCTTGAAGATGTATTTTCACTCTTTACCAAATGTCTACTTAGTTAACTGTGTAAACCAGTCTTCTGCAGAATTTGCCAAGCCAGATCATTTACCCTTAAAATGCTCCCGGCCCAACTGTCTGAGCCCCCTGCCCCGGCCATGGTCTTCACTAGCAGAGTCTTTTCAAGTGTCCGTGGCTGCCCCGGGGAAGGCTCACTCCACATAGCTCTGTGCAATCAAACGCACGAATAATTCCAGATTCTCACAGTTCAGCGTCAGCCTTGCCACCGTCTCCGCACAAAGCGAAGCATTTTCGGCATACATGGGACAATATCTGATTGAGAATTTGAAATGATGTCTGTCTAAGTTCTGACAAGAACGTAATTAAGAGAAACCACACTTGACAGTATGTCTGAGGAAAACAATCGTCTTATTGTCTGAGTGGTGCGGCTTTAGTTGGTCTTCAGTCTCGCTTTAGCTTTCTAGAACGCTATGTATCTGCGCCGCACTGAATAATTAGAAATCCGTCAGCCTAAGGAACTGGTCTGCACAGGCTCATTATTTAGCTCCAGGTTATACAAACCTTAGGGCTGGTTATTTGTAATAATCAAGAAGTGGCTACTACAGAACTTGAGATATTTTTTATCTTCAATTAACACCAGAAGATTGTTGTTTTCATGACCACAATGGATATTATAAGTGATTTTTCACTGTTATGAATA